AGCTGCAACAGCAGGTAGCGGGTCTGGAAGCTCAACTTTGCACATAGCTGATGGATAAATCTGAAGCACTCTTGAAATCATCTCATTTCTGGGAAAGGATAGAAGACAACTTCCAGCATGGGTCCATGCACATTACTGGATATTCACCCTGAGTTTCTTCGGATTTTTGAACCCATACTGTGCTCATAACTTCCTGGATGATGACAGGAAATTGGTCTGCATATGGCTTAGAGGAAGACTAGTGAAAAAATTTCTATGTAATAAGATTTCCTGTCATGACCTCAAATGGGTTTTACTTGTTTCAACTTTCTAGAAATAATCACTTTAGGTGTCCAAAAATCAATCTGTCATAGCATAAAGATCCAGTCCAAGGCAGGGCCCAGGCCGAAAAGTGAGGCAGTTGACAGGTTGCCATTCCAGGGACAGCTAACTCACAGCACCTAGGGCTGTCTTCCTTCTCCTGAGAGTCATTAGTGGCACTGGTATGGCTTCCTCATTGTCCTCAGTGACTTGAACTATTTAACGTTCCTGATCATTTTGACTTTAAGGAAAAACAAGAAGTCGCAGGGTGCCAGATCTAGTGAAAAAGTAGATGAGGACACACTGTAATGCTTGTAGGAGTCTGCTTTCCTGTTGGATGACACTCAGCAGCCACATTCATCATAGCTTTGATTTTACCTTTCAAAGACAAGAAAAAAAGACTTCCAGAAGTACTTCAGAAAGAGGGAAGAATGATGGAATAAATGTTTCAATGTAAAGCATCTTTTATGCAGATGAATGGTAGTGTGTCTTTTGCTGAAATTTTTTTTTCAGTTAAGCATTCATCATGGTTTCTGACCACATCTCTGCATTGGTAGAATGATTCTAAAACATTGTGCCCCCACAAATAATTCAGAAGTGGAGCCAAACACACAGGATAGTGTACATCCCCATTCTCTCTTTCTTTCACTCTCTGAGAAACTGAGCCTATGTTCCATGCACCACACTGTGTATACAAACAGTAATAATTACAGTCTCTGTTGTGCTAAGTTATCTGGGTAGCTATACTATAGCACCACCAACTGAATGGCTTGCTCTTCAGAGCACTGCAGAGTCCAAGACCAAGGTGCTAGTTAATTCAGCACTTGGCATCAACATCCTCCTCTCATTAATCTCTTTGGAGAT